ATATATATATATATATATGCATGTACATTTAAAATTGTAAAATTAAGGGCAACTAATAGAAAAGTATTTATTAAAAATATTTGGTATATTACCCATAATGAAATAATTACAAATTCAATGAACAAAGATATAAAAAGCAGATATGAAAATATATATATATATTGTATATTATATTGAAATGATAATTTAAAAAATATATTTACATTTTGTTAGAAATAAAAATTATTACAATTTGTTCTGATATCCAGAGAACAGTTCTAGACGTAGTTAGATTTTTAAAAAATACGTCTCTTTTACCAATAAAATATACTTGGCACTAATAAAAAAGTATTATTAATTATTTTTCTTCTATTTCTCTCTGCTTGTTATATCTTTGTTCATTAAATTTGTAATCATTTGATTATGGTTAATATACCAAATATTTTTAATGAATACTTTTCTATTAGTTGTTCTTTATTTTAGAATCTTAATTATAAATATCTTACATTTGTGTAATAATTTTTCGTTAAAGTATTCATTTGAACTCAAATGAAGTTACGTATATTCAAAGATTTGAATATATAAGAAACATACGATTCTTACATGAATGCCTGTTAACGTTTCAAATTTCTCAGTCGCTAATAATATTCCATTTTTCAAAGATGCAATGAGACTTAGTAAATTTTACATGATTTTTTTTTTACATTTATAACATTTCATTGAATTGTTAAGTAAACTAAATAATATTTTTAATTAAACTTTAGATATTATTATATTTTAGAAAAAGGAATTCATGTTACATTGAATGTATGATGTTTCTTATATCAGATCAAGAATGAATAAATATAAATGTATTGAAATATTTATCTAAATTACACACGTTTTACAATAAAGACTATATCTCATTTTAAAAAGTTTCAAATGAGTTTTTATTCATGATCCTGATCTGGTGGTGGAGCAAATTGTTCCTTTCTAAGTCCTGCTTTGTATTGACGTTCTCTTTCATTTTGCATCTCAATATATCGAAGTGCAGTCTTTGTTTTGAACAAACATTCTTGAAGATCATCCATATAATCTTTACATAGCTGCTGCGAGGTAGCACGATGAAGACCGTAAGATTCATAGCATTCTACTGCACGTAATTCAAAATCTGCACAGGCTGATGACAACTGAGCATTAAAAGTTTGTGAAAGTACCACTGAGATAAAATTCGTTACCAAAGGAGGTTTCTGTATTGTTCCCTCCATAATGTACCTAAAATAATAACCAATACTTTTAATATCACAGAAAATGTATTATAAAAATATCTAGAATCTTTTTATAACAATATATCCAAATATTTTATGATTGTAATAATTATTTTTATAAAATATTACAATTTTATTATTTCTTCTCTTTATATAATATGATTTTAGTTTTCTATTTATGGAAAAGCTAGATTTTATAAAATCAATCAAAGTATATTCGAAATCTATAATTATGTTTCTTTTAACTATAGAAATGATATTGCCTTTATAAGTTAAACATATTTTTCATTGATTATGTAGAGTATGTAATTCAATTCTACATATCTCTAATTCTATATAAACTTTTACACTGACGTGATGCCAATTACGTAATTTTAAACAAGACTTTATAGAAATCACATTAATAACTTTTTTTAAATAATTAAAATTTTATATATTAGATACTTACTCGATATAAACTAATAAACTCTTCTTTAATACAATCAGCTGTGAACCGTAGTGAATTGGTGATAAGCAATGACTGCACGAAAGATATGCTATTCTCCGGATACGCGGCAGCCATATTGAATTAATAAATGCGTGGGAAATTCAATTGTCATCAAAAAAGTAATCGATAAAAAAATAAAAAACAATTTCACTTTATTATATGAATAAGCATTTATAATAATAAATCTGTGTAATTTAATTCAGCCTATTTTCTGATAATAATTTTGTTTGAACTGCATTCAATACAAATGCAGGTATAGATTTTGTTACGTCAGAAGATCGAAATATCAATCGACAAGAATAACAAAGATGTCTTAATATATCATCTAAGCAGAGGGATTGTGTCTTATATCTTTTACATTTTTTGTTATTACAGGTACATTGTTTTTCATCAATAATATTACTATCAGTATGCTTATTCTGATTACTTTTTTCAGAATAACTAATCTGCTCTGTTAATTCCTCTAAGTTAACATTAAGTAAATTGTTAGTTTTTTCTTTAGTATTATTAACATCTACGTTATCTGATGATAAAAAAGCAGAAAATGTTGTTGCTTGCAAAGCTGACATTTCATCATTTGTCACTTTTGTATCTAAAGGTATATTGCACAGAACGCATACTGAGTTTTCTTCTACATTTTGACATGCAAGTAATTCTGTCAATAGTTTTTCACCAGTGCGATAAACTGTAGACACAGTTCCATGAAATTTTGAATCTAATTCAGATATGAATTTATTTGTTAATGCTTGTATGGAAGTTAACATATTAGTTTTACTTTCCTTACTAGATCGTAAAACATTTAAATTATTACAATTTAAATAATGAATTATTTCTTCTCTTGTAAAATCTCTCATTGGTCTAAGAAGCATAACATCCGAATATCTTGTATCACAAAAATCAATATCTGGAGAAAGTTGAGCACCACGACCAAGTGATATATCACTCAATATATTAATAGCAATATTTGTTGCGCCATCAGCAACAAATATTTTATTGCATTTTAATTTTCTTGCCGCTAAGATGAAAAGTCTATGACGTAAGCGCCTTAATAATTCTTTTCTTGCACTATCATCAGCTAAACTATTAAGAATATTTGGTATAACTTCATTTTCATCTATTACAACTTCTGGAGTTTCCATCAAATAAATATTTGGAATACCATTTTCACATAAAGATTCTTCTAATGATGCAGTATATCCAACAAATCCAAACGTTTTCGTTTGTTCAGATATTGTCTCTAACAGCTGTTTCCTTTCATTTACTGTATATCCTTCTACACCACCATCTGCGAATAACAGCAAAAACATTTTCTATTCGTATAAACTATTTACTAAATTCCACTTGCATGATAACTGAAAAAATGTTACCATCAATAAAAAATATGACTACATTAAATACAATCTTTTTATTAGCCACTTCATTTAAACCAGATTTTATCAAATGTAGTAAAGCGGTTGAATTTTCCCTGCCGCAATATCCAACAAGTACTGTATCTCCTCGATGAATAATTTTTGATTTACCCAAAGCTGCTCTAAACTTGTGCGTTAAATTTATTAAAAAACAAGCTTTGCAATATCCATCCTTTTTTCTTAATATTATTTCAGGCTTGTCAGTCCGGCATTTTTTGCACAGATCAGAATCCCTATGAAGTATAACCAAATATGTTGTTATTTGATGGTTATGAATTGTACAGAATTAACTATAACAAAATTACTTACAAAATTTGTATTTCATTCAATTTAGTTGTGAAATCATCATTGAAATCGCATGAACAAGCATTTAAAGAACACATTCTTTTAAATGTTTAATAATAATAGTCTTGAAAAAGAAAACAGAAGTACACAAAATCTCACAATTTCACTTTTCACTTTTCGCTTACCCTGATCACCAGTGGGCGATAGTAGATACTTAACGCGAAGACGGTACAATATATTATATACCTACTACAAGCTATACCATAAATACTATCAAATATATAAATATATATATACTTTATTTACTATATCTAATAGATTGAAATAGACAATGGATATCCAGCTTTATCTTGTATTTAAAAAACTCTTAAAATAATCTTAAAAATAATATATTATTTAAACATTTTCATTTAAAAGATGTACAATAAATTTGTAAAGACATATTTACACATTGTGTATGACAAGAAAACTAAGCTACTAACGATTTGATTGAAACACCACTATTAGTGGTAACATGAACTAAAGATGCATTACTCATATGATATCAGATATTATAATTAATGTAATCAAGACCAAAAAATACAGAAGTACTTAAAAGCTCACAAAGAATACAGTATTCTGACCACTTATGTGTTAGGCTATTGTGTATGACTTGATTCTATGATTAATATAGTTTTCTTCTTGTTACAGATGATCATCGTTGGATTTAACAACCAAACCTTTGACATTTGTTTTTGTTTGGACGCCATGAATATTTTTTAAAATATTAATATATTTGCATTTATAAAGGCATTTCTGAAGGCACACACATTTTTATACGCTAAAAATTGAGCATAATTATTTACAATTTTGTTACAATATAATTAAACTATATATACTATTAAAGAATATATTACATACTAACATATACTATCAAAGAATACAGTATTCTTTGATAGTATTAAAACCTCATCGCGTACCTATTCTCGCCCACTGGTGATCAGGATACTTTCTAAGATAATTTTTGTTACGCGAAAAGTGGACTTGTGAGCTTTATATATTTCTTTTTTCTTTAGTACAAGCTACATCATTCTTTTTGTAGTGGCTTGTTCGTTGTTTGTGTGCGTATACGTAAATATTATTTTCTCTATTTGGCCAAGAATTTTATTCTTTATACGCATGTGCGACAATTCATTTCTTCTTACTTATGGGGGATTAAAAATATATAACTACTGTACACATATGTTTATAAACCAGTATATGGTAACAGTCTTGTACATTTGTACTGTTATTACTTTGTCATTGTATAATTTTATCTGTAAATGATACAACTTTTAAAATTAATTGTTAAATATCGCTTATATTACTACGGATCTCGGATCATTGCCCTATTATAAATTATTTTTGTTTTTTTTTCTATTTTATCACTGTATGAATATATGTATATATATATATACGTATAAGGAAATACAATTTTTGTCGAATAAATGGAGAAATAGAGATAAATTTGAAATATACGCCACCACATGTTATCACGAGAAAACTATTAACAGTCGAAAACGAATAGATTGGGCCAAAACACCATCTATGATCAGCTGTAATCAAGGATTTTGACATATGTAGAAATTAGCAGGAAAAAAAAACAATTCTTTCCAATAATATAATAAAAGATTTTAAGGTTAATTCAAGTGTAACACTGTGATAAAACTTCGTAAATAATTTGGTAATAAATTTGATAATTATAATATTACGATATTGATCGGAAGCAGATTTAATTATTAAAAAAAAGGGAAGAAATTTTTAAATGTGAAGCAATTATGGCAACGCCCGTCACTGATAAGAAACCGCGAGTGATTGTTTTAGGAGGTAAGCATAATTGATTTTCTTTTTTTTTTTTAGATAGTAGATTTGACGTTAAGAAAAGAATAAAAATAGAATTGTTTTTTCTTGTTGTCACACAGGATGCGGTTTTATTGGGCGTAATCTTGTGGAATATCTACTGGATAATGATTTGGTATCATACCTACGTGTTGTAGATAAAGTGCCTCCACAAACTGCATGGTTAAATTCAAAACATGGGAAATTATTTGAAAATCCTCTGGTTGAATTTAAAAGCGCTAATTTAATAAATGCAGGTAATAAATTGATTATAGGTATATTACCTGTATTATGTTCAAATTAAATCTACAGTTGTATTATTAGTGTATTCGGTATATATGCACATGACATCTCTTTGTAGCATCTTGTCAGAATGCATTTGCTTCTGATAAACCGATTGATTATGTTTTTAATTGTGCTGGAGAAACTAAATGCGGTCAAACGGATCCCGTTTATAAAGAAGGAATTTATAAATTAAGTATTAATTGTGCTCAACAAGCTGCCAAAATTAAAGCCAATCATTTCGTTGAAATATCCTCAGGCAATTTAAGTTCTTCTGAAAAAGTAATAACAATTATTCTATCCTTTATTATATTTTTAATTAAATAATCAATATTGTAAATTAATTCATTATTATTTATATGAAGGTACCTTGCGTAGAAGAAGAAAATGGAGAACCATGGACATTTGTTGCTAAATATAAATTACAAGTAGAACACGATCTGAAAAATATACCAGATTTAAAATATACTATTCTAAGACCAGCAATAGTTTATGGACTTGGTGATAGAAATGGCTTAGGTATTTCAAATACACATTTCTAAGAAATATCTTTATTTTCTTGATTAAAAACCTTGATGGATGATATAATTTGTTACACATTGCATAGTTCTCTTTCATTATAATATTCTATACAAAATATTCTGTACCTGATAGTACAAACTGGTAGTGTACTCGTACTCAACAAAATTTCTAACTTATTTTTCTCTAAAAACAAAGTCTTATTTTAAAAAATTATATTCTATATATCCAATTTGATTTTTCATACTTATTAGTATCACCAGTTACATACGAAACACCTTGTATATTACAATGATATAAGTATCTTTTATTATACAGCACCAAGATTAGTAGTTGGAGCAGTTTATAAACATCTAGGAGAAATGATGAAATTACTTTGGGGACCAGATCTTCGTATGAATACAGTTCATGTAAGAGATATGGCTCGAGCTATTTGGCATGTAGCAAACAGATCTGATACAATAGGACAAATATATAACGTTGTTGATGAAGGAAATTCTACTCAAGGATCCATAAGTGCTATCGTTTCAGAATTATTTAACATCAACCATGATTATTGGGGTACTACACTATCTACTCTGGCTAAAGTATGAGAAGGATTTTAAAATTATTCTTAGTATGTTCTTATCTATACTTATATATATTGGGCGTTATTCAATGAGTATTTTTTATTATATGCCCTAAATAAAAGATCAGTCACATTGAAATAATATTAGGTCATATCGTCATTCTAAAATAAAACATTATTTTATATTTATTTTTTAGACCGATATGAGTTCTGTAGTTGAAGAGGTAAATGACAAACATATGGGTCCTTGGGCCGATGCATGTAACAAAGATGGAGTAGAAAACAGTCCTCTTTCTCCATACATAGATCAAGAATTGCTTTATAACAAGCATTTATATTTAAAACCAAGAAAATTATCTAATACAGGTTTTACGTATATACATCCTAAACTCACAAAAGAATTACTTAAAGAGGTATGTCGATTGTATATAGAGTAAAAATATTAATGAAGATGTAATAAGAGATATATAGAATTAATTTCTTGAATGTATCTCTCTCTTATTTGATTTTTCAGGTTCTCGATGATTATGTGACCATGAAAATATTTCCACATTCCTTAGTACTTTAACTCTTATCGATAATAATTTTTTATACAGAATACTTGGATGCTTATAATAATTTACACATATACATAGAAACGTTTCACCTTGTGCCTAGTGATCTATGCAAGTACGAAAGTTACATACTTTAGTATATACCGAATCCTTATATAACCACATTTTACAAATTTAATAATACATTAGGTGAGTTTATAGCATTCTTTCCAGATAAAAGATCATGATTCCATAGATGGGCTTATTTGCCAATGTGATAAAGTAGAGATTAATGTACTTAATTTTATTATAATTAAAATGCAGGCTAGTTTTGTTTACGCTATTAATTACTAATTTGATTATCAATCAAATCCAGTCATTTTGATAGCGTAAAAATTGCCTAAATTAAAACAAAAACAAAAAATAAGCAAAAAGTATTGAGGACGTATTTATATAGTAAAATCAAATAATATAATACTGTATAAATTTCCTCAATTAAAGACATTATATAAAGTATTTTGATAATTAATTTTAATTATTACATACTTGGCCAAATATGTTTTTTGTATGCAACCGATTTGGAGATACATATAAAATAATATCGATCATTGTTAGAGATACATGATTTCTTTTTAATTATTGTGTTCAATTGTATCTTCCAAGTGCTGTGAATGAACCTGAAAATCATTCTATTCCAAATAATTATCCATATATTTTATAGTACTTAATATGGTACTTAATTCATACATAACGTATTAAGCCAAGTACAAACAACGTGATTAAGCTAGGAGATTTTATTCTTATGATATTAATCCTTATCAAAATCGCTAGATATACATAGTAAAAGCCTAATGTTTGCATAAGGTGAATGCATAAAATGATATAAATCCATGTTAGTATTAAAATGCCACATAAGTGTAATAGCATTTCTTTTTTAAAACTGTTGTTAAAAAATATACATGCGAGCATTTTGATAATAAAGTTATTCAATTTATCAATATTTTTGTGTGTTTCACTTAGATTACTATATCACTCTAGGTATAGGCAATATGTAAATGAAATAAACTTGATTTTTCTATCTTAATTTTATTTAATTTTCGCTTACAACAAGATGCTGTATTCAGAAAGTTCAACAGTATTCTTAAATATTTTGTTTATCATTTTAATTTTAATACTTTAAACAATAAGGTTATAATTTTATATAGTTAATTATATGTAATATATTAAAATATATACTTTTAATATTTTCCAGAAATAATATATGTACAATTATGACTACAAGTATATGTACACAGCAAATGCGCTCTATAAAAACGCCATAATCTTTATATAATATACTTCTCTAAATATTAATAAGATATAATAAAGAGCAGTGTGTTTGTGTGTGTGTGAAAATAAATTATTAATATTTACTTGATACATAATAATTGCTACATATAACAATATATAATACCAATCAACATAATTACAGGTTCTTTTCTCATATAAAGTAAGTAATGTCTGAATTACATTTAATCACTGAACATGAAGATATATTTTTCGAGGTAAACTGCGTAAGTCTAAATTATCGTGTCTAATAGGTACAGACATTAAGTTAAAATTAAGTAATGTAAGTCACTCTGCAGAGCGATAACTGAGGAGGTATATATGTCTGACTAGAGTCGCCGTACAATAGAATTAATACTTTAACAGTATATGGCCAATATTATTAATCGGTTATTATTGGTGTGTCTATTGCAATGTAAATGGAATATAAATTATCTTGCTTATTTCATATTAAAGCTAGGAGATTCTTGTGTGGTGTGGATCTAGTTTCCAAGTTAAATTCAAAATAAATATTATAATATTATCATAAATAAAAAAACATTCAAATTATGTAAAATATATTAAAAAAAAAAAAAAAAACAAAAAAAAACACATGTAATAAAAATTATAATTACAAAAATAAAATTTTAGTATACTTTGAGTTTATTATTAACAACTTAAAATAATGAACTAAACGTGGAAACTAGATGAATAATTATAATGTTATTGACTGAAATCATCTGTAAGTCTTACTGTATGTGATTTACAGTGAACTATGGTAAAAAAAAAAACAAAATAAAAAAAAATGTTATGAAGACTAATAATGTGATATATACTACAATAATACAAATGCACGTATATCATGTATCTACCTTAGAAAAGCAACTTGTTCTTTTTTTTCTATGGTAATTAGTACTTGATATCCGGATAATGTGCTGTTTTAATCTGCATTTTATAATCAATATTATTTTCACACAATAGCACGGCGACCCTATACATGATTGTTACAATTTAAAACTTATCACATTTATATAATTACTTAATGTTTACCATTCAAATGAAAATACCAGTGCTAGTCTTTTATAATATTAGATTTCATTTATGTTCTTTTTTTTTTTTTTTATTTTTTTTTTTTTTACTTTCTTTCTTCTCTCGATAATTCCAATTTATCTGTATACGCGTATTTTATTTATTTATTTTTTTTTTAACATTTTTAGTAAATGTTTTGTTACTTATAAGCCCAAACACTGATACAATCTTAAACATATATATAATAATATATATATATATATATACATATATATATATTATTGTATTATGTAACATCTGCATTGTAAAGTGTGCTAAATATGAAAATTGAATGTACAGGTAGTTCCCATTTTATGAACTCATATTTTATAAATTCTTAACTTTAAAAATTGTTGTTTTAAATACTACAATATAAAAAAAGGAAAAAAAGAAATCTATTCTTCATTTAACATTATTAAGGTTTTCAATGGAAAAACTTAATTATCAGGAACAGAAGATATTCTTACTTAACAATATAGTAATCGGTTACGAATTAATTCGTAAAAGTGAGAACTATCTGTATATTTAATAAAGAATATTATATATATGTATATAAAAAAACATAGAATAAACAAAATTCATAGAAATAATGATGAGCTGTCTTTGATAATACTATACATGCATTTGATGTACGTATAGTTCAATAAATTATATAACTGCCCTTTTTTAAAACAAATTTTGTAACAAATATTTAACAAATGTGGAAGTACAATACTATAGAGAAATAACATAAGATATAACAGACAGTATATAATGGAAGTAATACCAAATGAGAAATCTATATAAAATCACAAAACAAACATCAGAGAATGTGTAATATGTTGCTGAACATAAACTATTGCAATTATTATTAGATGATATACGAACTTAATAATAATGTATATGAAATATAAAATTTATATAATATTAAGATATATGCAATGAGTTCTATGCATCTTGTCTAAATAAAGCTATTATTCTTTTGTAGAATGTTATTGAATATTTTCAATTAATTAAAAAGAATGTTTTTTTTTTTTTGTTATGAGAGATATCTATATGCATGTAATGATGATAATACATAAATAATATTATTATATATTTAAATTCTCAAATGTGTGTGTGTAGGACTATCCCAAAAATGTTCTTACATTCTACACAAAATTTAAAATAATAGCAGTTTTTTTTTCTTCTTTTTTAATAACATAAAATGGGAACATTTTAAACATTAAACAAAAATTCTCTTTCGTTTTTATAGAAGTATAGATATTATTTTCTATATGATAAAGATGCAATTGAAGTTCTCTAATATGCGCAGGTCCAATATAATTCTATCTTTACTTGATTTAATTATGTGCTCATGGCAACTACATTATTGCATGGTTCAGTGTAATATGATTTTGTGAAATATCACTGAATGTTAAAAGTAATAAATAACAGATAGTGGAGGTACAGTAACAACACTGACATGTCTATGTCTCACTCTAAAAGATACACCTTATTCTATCAGGTACTGTAATGGGTTTTCTGTCATGGTAACATGCACCAGTCTGGAATATATATTTGCAAATTTTTCCTTTGTCTATTGTATGATACACAGAACTCTTACTGCTTTATATATATATGTGTGTCTGCTATTTTTAAATTAAATACATTTAATCATTGATGTACTTATTTTTCCTTAAAATGAACAAATACATCAAAACGGATCTGAATTTGTATTGTAAATGAAACTTACTTTTTTTCTATAGAAAACGATACAGATTATTATTATTATATTACTGATAGATATTATGAATTATTTACAGTTTCTGTATGTGAATTACATTTGTTTTTATATTAAAAATAATAGAAATATATTTTAACGAAAAAATAATATCTACTAATTACATGAATATTTTATCTACGTATATATATATATATATATATATATATATATACGAATGTATTTTTGAAAATTTATACTTTGTATACTGCAAGTTAATACTTCAATGAATAAAAGATATAATGATTAATTAGAAAAATTACAATTATTTTCACATATAGTTAAAAATATATTATATAAAAATAATTAAAATTGTAAGAATCATTTACAATCGTCAAATAATTTAAATTGTATTTATGGAAAAAATCTTATAAAGATATTTTAAATGCAAAGAACATGTTCACCATGAGGATCTATTATATAATCGTTCTGTGTATCTAAATTAATGTATAAGTAAGTTCATTTGTAATACTCATCTCTTATTTTACAATATTAAACTTGCCTTTTTACATTCAGAGGATTTCTGAAATTTTGAAATATATCAAAATTAAAAGATCTACAGTCAATGTTATGTGACAATGATTTGTCAAAATTACTTGATTCTACTGATGTAAATTCTATATATTTTCTTTTCTTTTTTAATGTGAAGCATTTCATTCATTATTTAATTTGTTAATGTCATTTGTTTTTAGGGCTTCTCATTTCATTTGAATAGCGAATTTTAAACTTACAAACCATAACTGTATAATTACTATCTATATATTCATGAAAAAAAGTAAAGTAAAAAAAATTATATCTACTAACTTTGATACGCATATAGTATCGAATTTAACTCTACTTTCAGTTTCTAATGCTAAGAAATTTTTATCATATATCTTTACGTTTAAACTATATGAAAAAAAAAAAAATAAAATCATGGAATGGCTAGTATAATCATCATTAAAATTAAAATACATTGTTAATTTTTCAGCCAATTATAAAATTGTATAGGCCTTGCACACTTAGACATTTAATGTATTCATGGACTCGTACTCAATGCATTATTATTCCATATACAGTTTCATTTTTATCTATTTAAATTCATTATCTTTGTAAAAAGAACAAAAAAATTCAATACCAAGTTGCCCGAATGGTATTTATCAGTCATAATTTAATAATTATAATGTGTGCTTACCATGTATTTTATAAGTTGTTCTACTTTAGGTATTCCAATTCATATGTGACATTGTAAATACATTGAAAAGTCCATCTTCGTCACATTCTGATTTAAGGAACGATATTTCGAATATTTATATAAATACTTTTTTCGTTTTTACATGTTAAAAATAATTTGTAAAAACAAGTACACTTCTATCATTAGTTATACAAACTGTAGACTTAATTATGGATACCTAAGGATTAATATACATGATGTAAAGTTGACTGTAACTAAACATACTCAGGTATCCATATGTATCTCTAAATTCGAAAACTTTATTATAAAGATCTCGTTACTCGATTTTTGCGAGTAGAATAATTTACAAGAATTTCTCAAATTTCAATCAGAGATGTCAATTAGAAAACCTGGATTTTTAACAAGTTTACTTTTGTTCGTAATACTAAGATTATTATTTCAAAATTTCATTGTGAATACTATTTTTCAAACACGATATCCCTTTTTTTCTTTTTGCTTTTTAAAGAGAGAAAGAGAGACAGAGAGAATTATATGATATAATGTCATATAAATCTATTGGAACTGTATTTACTTCTATTTTTTTAACTTCCTCTCTACCTTTTTTTTTTATAAGCTTTGACCTTTTCTTGCTTCCATAATTTCTGTTTCTACTCAATTACAACAACTTTGTAACAGATTTTTGTTTTAAATTAACGTCATATACCTAC